TAATAATACAATCATAACCACCTGCACCCCATGTACCAAAGGCCATTTGCTACATCCTATTAACCTTTCCTTCCCCACTTCCCTATATGATCTCTCTCCTCAGGAAGGTGAATAAGTGCTACAGAGGACGATCCTGCCCCATCATCGTGCACTGCAGGTACTACACAAATGCCAAGATATGTAAAAATTTGCTAAAATCTGCCCCTGAATACCACAAACGGTGTGACATATGTATACACTTGACCAACTTTCATGGAACTTCTGTAGTATAAACAATTAGTTTTAGTACTTTTTAAAGACTTTATTATCATCTGTAGTTAGTCTTTAATTAAGTAGACAGTAGTCAGTAAGCTAGAATGGTGTTAGTTTGATGTTTTGTTTGATGTTATCTGAGTAAATTGCAGAAATTCTCATATTTATTTTGTGGTGTCTAATATTTACCTTTGTTCTTCTTTGCTTACAGTGATGGTACAGGACGGACCGGGACTTACATACTGATTGATATGGTTCTGAATCGCATGGCTAAAGGTAAACACTTACATTTATGACTGCACGTGGGTTTTTGTTCCATGAGAATTTAGTGTGTAACACGTCCAGGCAGTTATTTTAAAGCCCTGATCTATACAAATGGAGAGCGAGCTGTTAATGTCAATGACCACTACAACATAAAAACTGCATTTGCAGAATTACCAATCAAATGTGATAAAATGGCTGCAAAGGTTTGGTGATCTAGTCTAAAAAAATTTCCTATGGCTCTCTGCATAGTCATTGTCTGTAAGCAGTAAATCTTTTTCGTTGATGTTACAAGATTCTCCCATAGATTTTCTAAAGCTACAGTCATGAAGTGCTAGAGACTGGTTGCTGGAATAAAACACTCCTTGCATTTGCTTTGCAGGGATCACTAGTAGACTGTAGCAGTCCCCTGTAGTTTGTTAGTCTTTCTTACAAAAGAATAAGTGAGACACAAACTGGAAACACGTTTGCGTTTAAAGTAGTCGTGCCTTATCTCTGGAATTAAAACGTGTGAAAAGGCAAAACTTTCACTTTGCCCCCCGGCAGTCTGCTTATAATTAAATCAGCCTCAAAGAGGGTTGTGTTGCAGAGTGATTTCACCTGGCAACTGCCTCCAACAACCACTCTCCAGCTAGAAAGGGAATATACATTTTCCCCTACCAACCAGTGGTTTTCAGGGAGTCATAAATTGATCTTTAGGCCTGTGCAACTGGGGCCTAACTGAGGTAAGTGACCCAAAGAAAGATGATTCCTTTGTTATCTCCTTGAGAAGAGTATACACTGACCATCCTTTTTGAAAGAAAAGGAAATTAAGCCATTCCACGGGTGTAGACAAACGAATACAAACCAAATTAGCGCAAAACTTAAACTCCCCTTGATCATTTTTAATACAGTTCATAATCTCTAATTGGAGAACTCTGTCTTTTACTGGGTTGTCCACATTTATAGTCTAAGAACTCTTGGGCTCCCCTATCTGAAACACTTATATAGAAGCCATCTATGTCCACTGTGAATGACCATCTTTGAACAGAGGGCGGGGCTTTACGACACCAACTGTCTGCTATCTAAAATTCAGTTTTGAGATCCCTTCCCAGACGCCTTAACGCCCAC